TTTTTTAGTAGAGGAAGAATAAAAAAAATCAACTTTAAGTTTTCATGAAAAGCATCCTATAATTATTCCTTCAAAAACTCATTTTACAGATCTTATAGTATAGTGATGCACATGAACGAGTTCTTCATACATGGTGTAGCTAGTACTCTCATGTTCCTCCGTGAAAAGTACTGGATAATTAGATCCAGACAAAATGTGAAACGTGTTATAAGAAACTGTACTGTATGTGTACTGTGTCAGCGTTATAATTCTCCGACCAATGCGACAAGTCATAGCACCATTATCCTCCGTCTAGAGTTAAAGGGCTAAGAGTATTAATAATTGTATGATAGTATATTCCTTACTGAAAAGGTGTAATCGTAATGCTACTAATGTTGTATCTATTTTATTTAATTGTATTTAAAGTATTGTAATTTTAAAGAACTGTATATATTAGAAAATTTTAAGGTTGTAGAAATGTATAAGTGTATTTAAAATTTAATTTAATTCTGAAGGGGAAAAAAAAAAGACAGGCTTTTGTAATATTTCTAGTATTTTAGTTGAATTATGATAATCTTGGATTTTGAAATCGTCATTATGTTAATATTATCTTGAGTTATATAAATTCTTGATTTAAATCCTTGATGCTTGCTTGAACAGGAATGTTATGAGAAATAATTTTTGATGAATGAAATTTTACTTGATATTCTTGAAACATATGGTAAATTTTACATGTTCTTGAATGTTTATGTGACATTTCTTGATTACAAAAACTTGAATTTGTATAGAAATGCATAATGATTCTTGATAATAATTCTTGAAAATGTTCATGTAACACTGATAATCTTGATTATTCTGAACTACTGTTCAGCCGGGCCCAGTGTGTAAAAAATTTTATGTGGAAATATATTTTAATCGCCAAAGAGGGCGTAAATCTTTTATGATGTTATACTTCTTGTTCTTAGATCTGGCAGTGCCAGTTGAATGTGTGTTAGATGTGAATAAACTTGGCAGGTTAGAAATCTGATTCGTAATGTTCGTTTACCTTGATGTTATGTGTGATTGAATTAAGTTTTTTTGAACCAGCATAACTTGAAATCTTGATGGTTATTATAATATTTTATAGATGTATTCCGAAAGCAGCGCCACCAATTTGCATATCGCAGTTTACTCAGCTATTCTTACTTGTCAACATATTCAAATTTTACATGGTTTGGCTTATTTTTTTAGGGTGTTATCGCTATTTTTGTGATTTTTCCTTAATTTATGATAACCAGTGTATTACTACTTCTACATCAATTGGCATGGTGCATGATGCTGTGTTGATTGCATTTGACAAAATGTGTGCATTACAACCTATTCCTAGTATTTTCTTTTGGAGTAAATCTTGTAATTTAACATAGATAATATCCATTCATTTGCATTTTCACCTACCAAAATTTGTGTTTGTATTATCAGCTGCTAGTGTAAATACTTTAGATTTCAAATTGTTTCCCTTTATTACTGTGTATAGGAGGTTTGACAAAATTTCAGCAGTTTCATCCTCAGTGGATTCTAAATTAAAAATTTTTACTTGGATGTCCTTGGTAACATTATAATACCTTAACAGTATTGGATACAATTTGATTTCATTATGATTTGATGCAGCAGAATAAATCGTTACAAATACTACACTTTTTAAATCTTCTGCAAGTATTTTATCTCAGTTATTTTTAAATACTGATTTAATAATAGCCTCACATTTTGTCCTGGTGCATGAAAATTTAGCATTCTGAAACTTTTTCAATAGTTTAGTTGTACAATCCATGCTGCGAAAACTGAATTATGATATGATATGCAAATGTTCCCTCCATTACAGCTAATGGTGTTTCATCTTCAGAATAATTAGAAATTAAAAAAAAAATGTTTACTTTACTACTAGAAGCTGATGCATCTAATGATCACATATGTTAATTGGTGTTTAAGTGTTTTGTTATAACTTCTCTGCCTCCAACTGCAGTACAAAATTCTCCTCTGCAAATATTGCAGAAAACAATCATGTCTCTCTTTGACATGACAATTGGAAATTCCTTTTGCAATTGATCATTGAAATGGCACTTCTTCTTTCTTATTTTTCCATCCATTAAAAGAAATTAAAAATTAATAAAATATAGAGCTACACAAATGATGCAAGCACAATATGAATAAATAAAATTAATAAGTAAAATTAAAACTTTTATAACAGAAGCGGTGAAACTTTACTAAATCATATTTAAATTATTTTACATTTGTGTTGAAAGCAGGTTTGTATAAAATTGAATTAATGAATTAATAAAATGTGAATTATACTGAGCATAATATTCACTGAGAAAGAAATCATTTCATATTTCTGTTAGAAGTAAGCTTGAAGTATGATATAAAGTAAACAAAGTGAAGTGCGCAATAGTGCAAGACATGTGAAGATCTCCTATGCCCATGCGCACCCTCCCAATTTCATAATCGTATCTTTCAGAACTGTACCGTCACATGATGTGTAACAGTTTGACGTGGAATCTGAATACAGAGATAAAGAGATTAGTTTTAAAATATCGAAAAGGAGGACAAGTAGGAGCACACTTTTCGAGGAAGGACAAAACTTATAAAAGAAGGACTCTCTATCTTTATGATTGGTCACCCTATAAATGATGAATTTATATCATCGCTGTAATCAATTCTCACGTGCTTCATAAGAAAATTCACATATGCACCTGATGGCCCTCCACATATAAATTCACATGTGCACCTTGTTTATCTTCAGTGCTGATTTTTTCCTTTACTTTTGTTTTTGCTTATATTTAAGTGTGGTTTCAGTATGTCAGCATAGAATATTTTATCTTGTTCTTAACTTTTACCATGTTACCATGTTAGTAATACCATGTTACCATGTTAGTAAGATTTACCATGTTAGTAAACAGTGAATAATATTTCTTTCTGGTCAAAATAGAATTGTAATTAGATCAAAAAGCATAAAGTTATATATGTTCATGAAAATTTCTTTCATTAAAAATAAAATGTATGTTAAATATTCATTTCTGTTTTAACATATGGAAGCAAATAAGTATTAATGATTCTGTAGACTTTGACATTTTTGTGGAATGTCGGTCAAGGCCTAAATTGGCTGAGACACAAAGCTTGGTTAACAAGATTTGAAATTTCTCATAAATTGAGTATCGTGTTTGACATAAAATTAAACTGTTTTTCATCACACTGATTTTAAAGCTTTGAATTTAAGAGTTATCTAATCTTTTCATAAAACTGTACTAAACATTTTAAGCATCAATATATATATATATAATGTTATAGCTATAGCTTTATTTAGGAAAAAATTACAAGGCTAAAATGTTCTTTGATGAATGTTCAAGATACTCATACTGTGGATCATCTGAAGGATCTAGATGTTTTATACACTCTACCTTTATCTCAGGTAATGTTATCCTGTATTCATTTACATAAAAAAAATTCATTAAGTGATATTAAGTGAACAATTTTAAACCTGTAGTATTAAATCAATGTTCCTCATATATAAATTAGGAAATACAGAGCTCAAAACAATTAGGGGATATTATGATTTTGGATATAAACAGCAGATGAGGAAAGATTTTGGTGACTGATAAATAGGTATTTTAAGATATGGAAAAAGGCAAAGAAGCAATGAACAAGGAATAATTAAATTTTATTGAGGAAATTTGTTGGTAAACAAAAAATGCACAGTTTGTGCATATTATACAAGGAAAAAAAATTTTGATTTCTCAGATACTGTCCGACCACGTATTCCAGATTTATGTAAACATCCGGTTTGGGGCGGAAGTGGGCATATCTATCAGTGATGTAGGGGTGAGTGCAGTATTGGCCCCCGACCTCCGAGACCTCTGCCTGCACTTTTCACCCATACCCCTTCAGTTAAACTGATCCATCTTGGCTTTCAGCCAAACTGCTCTCACTAGTGTGGTAAGACAGTACAAATGAGTTTCAGTAAGGGCTATGGTTTCCCCTGACTGAAAGCTATGTCGCACACCTAGGAAGTATGGAATCAATATGGGACTGGGATATTCTCCCTCAGTCTTGTGGAAAAGAACTTTCAAACTGCTGAATTGTTTCTGGGGGTGATAAGCAACTAGCAACCCTTTTCTCTAAAATGTCCCAAACATGTTCTATTATTGGAGGGAACGTCCTGGCAAATCCATTCAAAGGATTCCTTCATCAAAAAGGAAATTGTCCACTAGCTGAGCATGATGTGGCCATGTCATTATCATCCATGAGAATGAACTGATCCACAACAGCTGCAGCGTAAAAAACCAGAATAGGTCTGAGGATCTCATCCCTGTATTGCTGAGTCATTAATGTTCCATTCCTGATAATGTGCAGGTCAGTGCTGCAATTGATAAAAATATCAGTTCAGACTATCATTCTGCCTCTACTAAATTGGAAATTTTCATGTACAAATATAGGAGTAAACGTTATGCCAGATTCTCCCCAGATGAGAAAGTGCCTATTAGCAGGTTTTACACTAAAGCATCCATGAAGAGCACATTGCTCCACTCATCTCATCCCCATGTGAGGTGCACCTGTGCCCACCTGCAGGCAGTGCAGCGTTCCTGTGTCTACGAAACAAAAACCATAGGTCTGCGAGCAAACAAACCCTCATGATGGAGTCAATTTCAAACAGTTTGAGTCGAAGCTCTGATACAGTAGCTCTCTGAAGGTGCTGTTGCAAGAAAGTGGCATTCATTGTGCAGTTCCTCCTGACCGCCCAGTGAATGCCACTTTAGTGTTAAATACCAATCTTCATTTTGTATTGCTGCAGGCATATCACCTTGTCCCTATCTTCAGGGAACATTTCCAGTTTCCAAAATCGATTCCATAGTCATGAAATGACACTTTAAAAAACTTCTAATGCTTCCAGTACAACAGATTGCATTTAAACTGCCTCTAAAGTTGATGCCCCTAGATACCATTAATCATTTGCGAGAATTATTCATTTTGAAACATTAGCATTTAGATAAAACATTAATGTGTTCCAAAAAATCAAGCGCTGGTCCTATCTAAATCTATTTCCCCAGCAGCATGCATTCGTAAATTGCACGAGAAAAATACGTGCAATTTACGAATGGTCTTTCGTATAAAAAACGTTCAAGTTGAAGGTAAAAATATCATAAAAAGTGTCCACTATATATTTACGTATATTTTACGTTATACTATACGTAAATTTTACGTAAAATTTAGGTATATTTACGCGAGAGACTGCTGTTCATTCGAAACTTTTACGTATAATATACGTAAATTTCAGGGATTTACGTATTTTTAGTAAAAATTTACGTATATTTATCGCATATACGTAAATCTCAATTTTTTGCTTCACGTATTATGTATATATTTAGTAAAAATTTACGTAAATTTCCCCGATTTTTTACTGTATATAAACGTATATATTAGGTAAAAATTAAGGTAGATATTCCCCGTATTTTACGGTACAAAAACGTATATATTTGATAGAAATTAACGTATATATTTCCCGTATTTTACGGTACAAAAACGTATATATTTGATAGTAATTAACCTAAATCTTCCCTATGTTTTCTTTGCATATGCGAATGACTGGTAAAAATTTAATCCGATGTATTCTCCACTTTACTGTGTATAAATGCACATTTTTTGGTAAAAAATTTGCATAAATCTCCAATTACCTTTTCACTGCATTTTTCATAAAATGTACTTATTTTAATCTCATATTTTTTATATAAATCTATGCAAAAACTTTCTGTATGCTATGATTAAAAGGTAAAATAATTTTTATATCAAATTCTTACATATCTGCCTTTTAGTTATGTACAGCAATATGGAATATATATAACTGGAAAATTTAAATGCACTAGTAAATGCCAAAAAAAAAAAAATTTCTATTAAAAAATTACGTAACACTTAAAGGCTGAAAATGACTTTTAATATTTCATTTCAAAGTGACTACAAAATATGCAATAAATTTCGTAAACATCAATTCTGTGTTTTAAATCAATTAATGCTATCGTTCATTTACATTTTTGTTTACTAAATTCATTTCATAAATTTAAATTTAGTGATTGTTTACTAAATTCATTATTACTAAATAACACTTTAAATAAATTATTTGCTTTTCCGAAGGACATTTTCTTATGCCATGTAAATGAACGATAGCATTAATTGATTTAAAACATAGAACTCAGGTTTACAAAATTTATTGCATATTTTGTAGTCACTTTGAAATGAAATATTAAAAGTGATTTTCAGCCTTTAAGTGTTATGTAATTTTTGAATAGAAATTAATTTTTTTGCATTTAAATTTTCCAGTTATATATATTCCATATTGCTGTACATACCTAAAAGGTGGATATGTAAAAATTTGATATTAAATTAATTTATCTTTTTAATCATAATATGCAGAACATTTTTGCATAGATTTATATAAAAAATAAGAGATTAAAATAAGCACATTTTACGAAAAATGCAGTAGTAAATAGGTAATTGGAGATTTATGCAAATTTTTTACCAAAAATGTGCACTTATACACAGTAAAGAGGAGAAGACATCGGACTAAATTTTTACCAAAGTCATTCGTATATGCAAAGAAAACATAGGGAAGATTTAGGTCAATTATTATCAAATATATAAGTTTTTGTACCGTAAAATACAGGGAATATCTACGTTAATTTCTATCTAAAGTACAATATAGTTAATTAACAATTCCAAAAATGTAGCACAAAAGTAAAACATCATACACATTTAGATTATTTGAATGAGTGTGCTAAATTTTAAAATTGTTAAAATATAGACCAGGAAATTGTAGAAAACTTACCTTTTCCAATAGTTTACCAAGTTGACTTTGTTATTTTCCTTGAAGATGAATGTTTAATGTCACAAATATTTCATTCATATCTTCAGATAATACACAAATATATACATATTTATTTATTAAAATTCAGTTTATCCCAAAAACATGTTAAAGAAAATATTAATTTGCATGCAAGTTAATCGAGTAACTTCTGTTTTAATTACACACATAATTATGATATGTAAAAATTTTACATTTATCAGTCAATCTTGCAATGTATTGTAATCTATTATTGTTGTCTTTCTCAGTTTAAAATCTTATAAATATATTAGATCAGTACTAAAAGTTCACCTCTACAAAAGAAATGCTTTATTGAGGTATTTTTAAAAAGTTCCCTTTTACAATGTAACTGTTAATTTCATAAATAAGTTCATAAAATTATGCAAATTCAAAATTACCTAAATATGTTCTTTATTTTATCTTATATACCAGATAAAATTTTAAAAAGTTAATTTGTTTAGGAATATTGAAGTTTTTAAATATTTATCTCATGTGACTTTTTCTATAACATCATTATAAATGTACATGTTGATGTGGACATACCAATTATTTTTTTTTCATCAAATAGCTTTATGGTATTAAATGATTTAAAAAGAGGCAACTGGACAAAAGAAAGCAATTAGAAGTTGGCTAATTTTTTATTAATTTGTTGTCAAATGCTGTGCATTTTAGATTATGCTCATATGATGACAATGAGTTATTTAAATTATAAAATTATTATGAACATATCCCACATAAATTAACAAGTATAAAATTTCAAGTTGTTTGAAGTATTATGAACTGTAATACTTGCAAAAGAAATACACATGAAATTAATTTAAGAATTAGGTTTATTTTACAGGTATTCGAAAACTGCAATTACTGTTAAACAATAAAAACTAACATTAAATCTGAAGAGCATATTTTTTTCAATAATAAAATTCAACATAGACTTCATGCAGCTTCGCCATATTTGTTCTATAGTTCGCTGTCTTTAATATCCTGCTCGATTTTTGTAAAAGTGAATTCTTTGTCACCCAATGTTTTGAGAACAGCTCCTAAACAAGAAAAAGAAAAATTTGTAATAATTTCACACTTCAGATGTTTTCAGTTTTTAAATATAGTTGAAGTATTAAAAAGATGCATATAAAATGCACTGAGTATTTCATATTTAAAAATTTACATTTCAGTAATTAAAAATTTAAATTCATACTTCATCACAGTAAGCTTCAATTAAAGCTTAATATATATACCTTACACAATGCCTATAATTTCAAGTAAAAAATACTTAAGATTTGTTTAGAACTGCAAGGTTGAGAAAGTCTTTAATGGCTATGTTTGTATTTAAGTACATGAGAAAAAACTTAATTTTGTATTAATTATATTGCATTAGCCTTTTCAATTTTACTCCTACATATAGTAAAGAATATTCGCTTTCTTACAGATAACTTTTTCTTAAATAAAGAGTAAGCAGAAAACTAATCACAACACTATATACATATAACAGAATACTTCATAAACATATACATGTCATTAACATACGTATATGCATTAACAGGCTATTTTACACATTTCAATAAACCAGAAACCAATACACAAAAGTATTATCAGTAAATTCCTCCAAAATCAGAGCAAAAATCTTTAATTATGATAACAATGGCATCTCAGTTTGCAATATAAAATATTTCAAGTCTACATTCATGTGCATTCTAAGCAAACAGAAAGCTGAATAACAATAAAATTATAAATACCATAAAAAAGTTAAGAGCCACGTAGAATGATAGCAAGACTAAATGAAGTCTTCCTTCAAAAATCAATTTAAATTCAAAAATTTGCCTTCCTGTTTAACATCTCAAAATAGGGTTACTGCTTTCACTAACTAAATTTCCTGTCTTGGCAAAATAAAAATTGTCACTTCTGTTGCAGGAAATATTTGCTGCAAACTTTGTATGCAAATAATCCAGTGAAAAAAATTTTAATTGTGGCTTGAATATTTTCTTTATTAAATAAATGAAAAATTCCCACATAATATTAATTTATGATCCACATGAAGCTTTTTACCTCTACCATATCATGCAGCTATTTTAAAATATATACTCTCATATAAAAGCCACAGAATTTTTTTACCAATATTAATATAGTATAAATCATTTCTTCTAAAAACAGCCCCAAAATTTCTGAATTTGATACCCAAAACATAATTCTACGTAACTGTTAATGTATGCATTTGCTTGCACATACTTAAAATGAATTATACACACAAAAACTTAACGTAACATATTAACTTTAATAAATTCTTAATTAGCAGGATGACTCAATTAAGGCAAAATATGAAAGAAATCTACCTGATAGAATAGTTGTAAAAGATATATTTAAAAAAAAGCTAATACTGTTTACCTTACACATGGCAGACATTGAGTAAACTGTATGCAGCTGGATTATTTATTAGGAATAGAAGTTAGATCAAAGTACCAAAGTCACTGGAAGGCTTTAACCATTTGGGTGCAAAGAAGCATCTCAATTTAAAAAAGAATAAAAAAAGCTAATAGAATTTTATAACTTTTACAATCTAGTACAAATATTAGACACATAAACAACACAATAAACAATGCACATAAATAAACGCCATTATTTACTTGCATATTTTCCTTCTTTGTGTACTTTACTCCTTAATTTTTCAGGATATGATTTAGAAACAGAGTTATGGTAAAAAATGTATACTGGTAAAAAAAAATATTGCTGAAACTGATAAGTCCTTTGAATTATATACTATAGTGCAAAGAGGGATGGAATATGTGACTAAATATGATAAATCAGGTTACAATAACATTAAATAAATAACATAAAAAACTGAAAAAAGAAATTTTATTTCAAATTATTTTTTAGCTCATGGAAAGACAGACAGTATTTCCAACTTATTAAATTAAATTACATCTTGGTACTTTTCCATTTTGCCGGTGCAAGCGATAAAGGTCGCCCAAAATGGTACAACCGATTCCAAACAGAATATCCTTGCTGGTAACCTTTTACGTTTCATTTTCAAAACACTTTGCAGCTATTTCTATCAGATTGAATGTTTCTTTCAATACTGGGATACAATTACATCGAATTTTTACCAGATAGTTCAATTTTATGTCCTAAGGCCATTCGTGGTAATTAAATCGATTAGGATGCAATCACACGCTCACCCAAAAATATAGAAAAGGCAAAATCAAGGGTTAAATTCATCAATTCTAATGAGAACGCACTAGCAAAGTAAAGCACTGTGATTTTACATAATTTCTGAGTAAGCTATTCATACGAAATGAAATCATTCTTGCATTTAAACTTGTATTCCAAATTAAGATTTAACTTGAAATTAATGTAGATAATTACTGAGAGAATTAGCGTAGTTTAACATGAGATGAGATCACTTGAGGTCACGTGATATGAAACGACGAATCAGAATGTTGTACCATGAAAGCATAGTATATTCTTAAATTAATCTCTTTTTGCAAATACAAATTAATGTCTTTCTACAAATTCATTGTCTTTTTTTATTATCATTTTACAAAATTTTAAATGATATTAAAATGTTTATGCTTTTAAAATAAAAATTTCTTAGAACTAACATTTCTTAAAATTTTTTATGTGTATACTGTGTGTTGTCGCCAATAAAGTCTGCTTGACAAGATTTGCGCCGGCGAAACAGAAAAGTACCCTGATATTTTGAATTTTCATAAATTTACTATTTTAGGGAGGCTCCGTAGCACAGTGGCTAGTGTATCACGCAGCAGCACCAGAGGTCCGGCGTTTGATTCCCAGGCCGGGCAAGGTTGAAATAGCCTTTCATCCCTTGAGTGGGTCGATAAAATTAGTACCAAGTTCCATTTGGGACTTAATACCAGGGGGCCTGAACAAGCTGACCACTTATGCACAAACACCACAGAGCTCACCATCTAGAAAGTAGATATCAAGGCATTGCCAGCCATGGCTGTCTAAGGGCTGTTTGTGCCATCCAGTTTAAATTTAAGTTTTACTATTTTAGTAACATAAAAATACATCTGTAACAGGTTTGGTTTAGGTTTATTTGATTACTGCAAAGCACAATAGGGCTATCTGCCTAAGGTGAGAAATGCCTTCTTGAAGGACTTTCTAAGGGAAACTGGCTCGTATACATGTTACACATGGGTAAACGAAAACGGCCATGCAGCCAGACCGTTCGCGGGATTCGAACGTCGAACGGAACTACCAGTGTTCAGCGACTTTACCGCTGGGCCGTTGCCGAGCCTTCTATTACACAGGACCTGTGTGTGCAGGATCACCTTCGAAATTAAGAGAGTTGTATTTAAAATCGGTGCTAAACTAAAGCTGCTTTCTTGCCTAATTTTATACTATTGAAAATACCGGTAATTGTCAAAATTATTCATATTCAATATGTGTAAGATTATTAATGAACTGTGAAATTGCAGTTAACCATCTAATATACTACATTCAGCGTTATTATTTTTCTTTTTGAATGTCAGGTTTTCATTATTTCTGCCAATATATCTGTAACAGGACATAAAGATTGAGTTAATGTAGAATAGAAAATTACCTTGCGACATATCCAATATGACTTAGTGGCAGTACTTCATTCTCTAGAAAAAACATTTTAAATTATTGTACTTAAATAAAAAATTCATATTTGTTACAGCAAAACATCATTAACACAATAAACCAGAGTTGAATGCAAATCTAGTTTAACTCCATTCTTGAAAACTAGTTTATTACTTTCAATTTAATTTAAAAAATAATAAAAAAATAAGGTACGTATTATGATGACTACCTAGATATCTCGCCTAAACTGGCAATCCTTGTAGGTTATACAGGTTAACCCTAACATAGGTTATAGAGGGCACTAAGATAGAGAGTATTAATCCCACACTAGGGACTCTAACATTTGGTAGGAACAGTTTGAAAAGTGAAACAGATATTTATAGTGAACCAATGCAAAACAAAAACAATAGTTCTTTAGGGACAAAGCCCCTTTGGACTAATAAATAAATTAACAGCTTTTAGCTATTTTTTCTTCTTGTAAAAAATAGACATACAGAATATTTTTAGAAAATAACAGTACTTTAAGCATGCATTTTCCACATATTTAACACAATAATTCATTCTAGCTCTGTTGCAATACTGGCAAAGGTACTTATCTGTTATTAGGAGGAATTGAATCTCTGTATAATAAAGACTACCTCCCTTTTTTAAAAAAAAATGTTTAGTAAATACTATGAAGAAAATTGGTTACATTATTTACAGTTCATAATTAATAGAAAATAAATCATTTCTTAGCTTATCAGAATTCATTTTTATCACATTCATAAACAGTACTAATTTAAACAAACATACCATTATGATTTCAATAACTATGAAATAGAAAATCCAAATCTGCATCTTTGATGGTCTAGTAGATTGGACGTCTCGTTTACTACAATTCAGCAGGGTGCTGACTCCCCAGACTGTAATATATATATATATTTAATTTACAAGGGAAAAAGCAACAAAAATATAAACAATTTCTTGGTTTTATATAAGCATTTCTGCACATTTACAATTTTAATTTTTTTAACTATCTAGTTATATCAAAATACATGATTTAGTAAAATATAATTCAAATAATTTAAGGTATTTTAGATCAAATACTAATTTTTCAATAAATTTTTTCATGCAAGTCTAATAATCAACATAACTATCAAGTTTTGACTTCGAAAAATTATGTTTAGAGAAACTTGAAGCTGCAGTAAATAGTAATAAATTTATTCAAAACTGAAAGTAAAGCATTCTTACTTTATTTTCTTTATTTTCTTTCTTTAACTATGGCAGATCTTTTAAAACAACAAAATCAAACAAACAAAAAAGAAATGCATTCATGAAAGGACTTAGGACTTACTTATTATTCATGAAAGGATATATTTCAGTAATTACAAGTGCATATGAAAATTCAAAAATGAACACAGATTTGGAACAAAGTACCTGTGTTTGTATCGCATAAAATTTCCTTTTTTAATAGCACAATATCTTTGAGTTAAAGATTATATATTAAAGCAAATTTATAAAACTAAATTCAAAAATAAGAAATTAAATTATTTTTAGGGAAAACACTAAGCAAATAAAAAATTTTGAATTTCATAAATAAATGAAAGTTACATGCTTTATTTTTTGGCATAAGGTAGATAATATTTCCATAACAGATTTCTGAACAATTAGTCATGTTAATATTGCCTTTCTTTTTCCATTAAAAGCTATTTCCTGCTTAATTACAGTATGCTTTAAGATAAATATTAAAACGTTTGAGTAAAAATAATATAACTATAAAAAGGTGAGACACATACAAAAAGGAGTGACACAAACAGTAAGAAACAGACTAGTGCAAAATTTTTTCAATTTATTGATTTGGTATTCTATGTCATTAACAGTACCAAATCCTGAAAATGAATCATTAGGCACTTACACAAAAGAACAACACATGGAAAATCACATTTCCTACACAGACGCTATTTATAAAATTTTATATAGGTGAAGAAAGTACGAGTATTAAACACTGAAAATATAAAATATTCACTTACTTTCTTCAAATAATTAGTAACATCGATGGATTCAGTCACAAACGCCAATATGTATTCTTTGCGAATTTACCATTCTTTTCGACCGCCATTGCTGACTTCACAAATATCCCGCCACAACCGGAAGTAGAAAGTGTCTGCTTTGCCATTGGTCAGTGAACAAGAATTGCAACGCTTTTTTTTTCTTTATAATTAAACATATTAAGAAAGCCTCTAAATTAGCATATGAAATAAACTTACTTTTGCATTATATAAATTTATATTCACAGCATCTCTGTATTAAGGTAATAATTCAATTTTTCTACGAAAAATAGAAATGTCTGTGTATGCGCATGCTCAGTGTATAATCGTAAATCCGGTTAATTTTTATAAGTTAGCGTACAATTTTGAGTTCATTTAACTGGACCCTTGTACTTATTCTGTAGATCTCCATATTAAGAATGTCTTTAACTGTTTCAGGAAAAATATAAAATATAATATAATTATTTATTTACATTATTATTTAATTTTTTCCTCATATAAAAATTATTAAAATCGCTATATCATTTTTCCCCGTACATTAAACAAAATTTAAAAAATTTAGCCTCATATGATTTTTATAACAAAGATTAAAGGAACTGAAATATATGTAAAATATCAGGATTCAGCTTGCAATTTCGTAGAGTTATTATTATTATTATTAAATAAAAATATTAGTATATCTTTGATTATAATTAATGATCCTTTGGTCTACATTAAACTATTGTTCAAGAAGTTAAACGTTTTCTAGCATCTTCTGCTGTATTTATTATTCTATTCCTCGACATGAAAGATTTGCTAGTCTTATTCCAATTTAATTGCCCACATTTGCTAAATAAAATAAGGAGAGTATTGTACCAAACTCAGTAAGTACACAAATTTAATATACAGCTTATTCCAGTTAAATGGGTAATAGGATTTTCATAAAAGAAATTAAATTGTGTAAATTAATGTAAGTGTTGATATGAATAAAAATAACAAATTTGATATAAGAAAATAAATAAGTTATTTTGAAGATCTTTGAATTAAGAAAATATAATTTTTTGCAAAAATGCACGTAAAGATTTAGCTCACATGTTAAAATTCATAGAAAAATTTTAGCCTCATATATGAATGCCCCTTTTTTCATGTTCGTGGACAAGGAAAACAAAGTGAAATGCCAGAAATACACTAAATATTTTGAATTAATAAACTTCATTTTCAATCTTTTTAGACTTCGTATAATATCCGTAAAAGTGACGAATGAAATATACCATAAAGGCAGTAGTTTCTTTCAGAACATTCGGATTCGTATAATATGCGTAAAAGTGACAAATAAAATATACCATTATGGCAGTAGTTTTTTCAGTACATTCGGATTTGTATAATTTTCGTAAAAATAACGTGTGGAAAATAACGATAAAGAGTCAAAAGTAACTTCAGCCTTTTTCATTCGTATAAATTTCGTAAAAGTAACGTGCAAAAAATAACCATACCCTCATTTCACCAAAATTTATACGTATATTTTTGGAGACGTGCTGCCTGGGCAATATCACAGACAAAATTTGCATTCTGAACTTTGTAAATGCTGTATTTTTCCTTTTTAACCTTTTCGCCGTCCTCTCCTGTCTGCAAAAATTTCTCCCCAGCAGCCCTTTGTTTTTCGCAGTGTGTAATGTTGTTTTCTTTGTACAAACATGACTTTCATAGTGGATGAATGTAAACAAATGTCAAGTAAAATTATAAGGAAATAAAGCATAATGGAAAAGTAATAATATCTCTGCTTAATTTTAACAGGAGGATTAATTTGATAACATCTGATCCAGGCTGTCCACTCCTCCCATTTTGTTGTTGTAATCTTTTACAATTATTGGTTTTTTTACAGTTCTTTTCCATGTTTCAACATCAATCATAAAGTTATTATGGATTGTACTCATCAAATGTATATCCTTATTGTCTTTCAAATTCACAACCTCATTATTTCTCTTTTTCTGCTGAGTAGACGTTGAAGATTTCTCACTGTCTTGTATCTTATGTAAAATTGTGCAAATATTCAAATATTCATAAAACCGGGGGGGGGGGAATTCAATTAGAAATAGAATGCCTGATTAGTACTGCCCTCTAGGAGGTATTAGAACAAACAAAAATAAAAACTCAAACAAGTAAACATTTAGAAAGCATTTTAACCGTTTGAAAGTTTTAAAATGTAGAAGAATGCTTGAAGCGCATTACGGCCACCCTGCAGAAGTTTCACAGGAACGCACTAGAGATGTTACGGACCTCTTCTATTTTATTTTTGTTAAAAATATTAATTATATGATTATTTCATGCCAAACTCACAATATCCGATAATTGTTTTGAGCAGTATATATTGTATTATATTGTTAATAGTTATTTTCTATTTTATTGACAAATTAATAAATAAATATAAGGAAGAAGGATTGATGTGATATTTGCCATTAGTGATTAAACTGATTCATTTAGTTGCAAATGTAACATGTAAATTTAGGAAAGCAGCAATAGCAGCAAGAACTCCTAAAATGGATGCCATTCTTAGGAAGCGAGCAGGAAAAGGATCAATTATTGATCAAGCAATGCGATAATAAAATACATATTTGATGATAAAGAGGTTGTTAGAATTAAGAACTTTTTTAGAAGATGTAGATAACTTTAATGTTTCACTAACAGAAAGACTGTGAAATGATCTTGCAGAATTGGAAACTCTTCTTTTTACACTATATAGCCACAAAAAAGCTGTAATCTGAAGCATTGACAAGAGGTGAGAATGCAAGAATGGGGGTGTTTGTTCTTTCTAAAAGGGGGGGTTTATTGCAGAAAGAATCATTTCTTCAATGAAGAAAAGAGAAACTAGTTTGCTAGACAATGAGATCTTGCTGGTTTCAATATATGTAGATTCGAAACATTGAATTTTCATGGATGACAAACAGATTAAAAAGGCAAAGAAAGCCATCTATGAATTTTCATTAAAAATTAAATTATTCCGAATTCCGCTCGTACATTTCAGATCACGTAAATTTATGAGCAATTGGAGAAATTAAATTAGGAGAGTCAAACTGCAGACAGTACAATTGAGTCTCTATCATCCTCTTCCAGTGATGAATTAGATTTTGAGAAATACTTTTGGATAATTTTGAAAAGGCTAAGGCAAAGCAAATAGCCCTTAGATATAAAAATGATAAACTATAAACAAGATTTCTACATGGCCTTTGAAGAAATAGAGAAATATGATTGCACTTGCAAGACACCTCTTTTAGAGCTTATAAAAATCTACCCTGAAAAGTTAAAAGAAGTAGCCCTAACAGTAACAGCTCTTCCTCCTACTCAATTTAGTGTGGAAAGACTCTTCTCAGCTCTGAAATTTTATCAAATCATATCTATGGTCCTCCAAGATCTTGCTGAAGCTATACTGTTTCTTAGAAATAACTAATGCCTGTTTTTTTTTCATTTCATAATAAATGTTAATTAATATAAATAATTTGCTATGTCATCAATTTTTTTTTTCTGTAGCATCTATTCCTTCTTTTATATTAAAAAAATAAGCTGTAACCCATGTGTATATGTTTATATATACATATATATGTGCGTGTATGAGGGAGTCGGAGTCTAAAATTCCAGGAGTCCGAGTTGGTCATTTTCCCTACCAACTCCACAGCCCTGGAAATAACACAGAAATGTTTTCCTGTTAAAGCCACAGTTCCATCACAGCATACGCAACACATTTATTCCAAGGAATATCATTCTCGGACATAAAATTGTGAATTGCTTTGAAAATTTCATTTGTAATTTCTCTATCATGAAGAGATTCACAAAATAAATACTCTTCTGCAAT